AAAAAAAAAAAAAAAAAAAAAAAAAAAAAAAAAAAAAAAGCACATGTAAATGAAGGATGAAACCAGGACTTGAATTGGTGTCTCCATCCCAAATACTAGGGTTCTTCTTCCCTGCCTCACTCCCCATTTCTTGTTACATTTATCCAGTGTCTTCGACACAATCTCAGAGATTCCCTTCCACACCCAACAAAAGATGCACCTATTATTGCATGTCTTAGGCTAAGTTTAGTGCCTGGCCATGGGTTCCAAAGCATGATGCACATTCCCCATTATAGCACTTACGAGTTCTTATTGAAATGAGTTGTTTATGGGTCTCTCTATTGATTAGATTCTAAGTTCCTTGAGAACCAGGAGTGCATTTTGTTTAGTTGCCTGGCATAAAGAGCTTCCGGAATGTTTACTGATCATCCAAATGAATAAACAAATTATATGCTCCACTTTAAAAGTATGAATCCTGGGCATAAATTCTACAATTGCAGATTTGGAATTGAGGCTTATTCTGTTTCTAATAGGAGGTAGTAAGGAATCCAAGAAAGCCTAGTGAGATTAGCATTACAACTCGGATACTTTCTAGATGTGGGCTCTTAAGCCAATGAGTCTCAGTTTCTGTTTTGATTCTCTATTGCTGCCAACCAAACCACCCTGGAATGTCTAAATGGTTCAACATTACAGCTGAAAGTTAATGTGGGCTGTGAGCTGAGATCTCAGCTGGAACTGTTGCTGGGAGCACCTACATGTGGTCTCTCCATGAAAATTGGGCATCTTACTGTGTGGTGGCTGGGAGTGTACTAAGAGTGAGCATTCCCAGAGAAATAAAGTGGAAGCTTCAAGTCCTTTTAAAAATGAGATCAAGGGGCCGGCCCGGTGGCGCACTGCTACAGTGCGCCGCTTGGGAAGTGCGGCGGCGCTCCCGCCGAGGGTTCAGATCCCACATACAGACCGGTTCCCGCTCACTGGCTGAGCGAGTTGTGGGAGCAACACCGAGGGTTGCAATCCCGTTGCCGGTCCCTGTCCGGTACGGGCGCGACACTGAGGGTTGCGATCCGTTGCCGGTCATGAAAAAAGACAAAAAGGAAAAAAAAAAAAAATGAGATCGAGAAGGAGTTGTAGCAAGTTCTGCTACATTTCATTGGTTAAGTATCCTAGGGCCAGCCGGAGT